CTGTCTTGCCTTCCCTGCACACAGCCTTGTTCACAGGGGACAGAATACTTCCTAAAACCCAGTTGTCAGCTTGATTCTTTTTCCACATTGAATCACAGGAAGAGAAAAGGGGAGGAAGAAGGGAATAAGGAAAGGTGATACAGAGGGTGCGGGGCAACTGAAATAAGAGGGCAATGGAAAAAGAGGTCAGGCAGAAGAATCTTGTGGAATGAGAAGAGCTCTGGGAATAGGGATGAGGAAAAGGTCTGTCAGGCTGGGACTGGAAACAGGGAAGACATTGTAATGGGAGCCAGAGTAGAAGAAGGCCTGGTAGGGTAAAACGTTTAGGATAAGAGGTAGGAGTCATTTGTCTGTGGGGGTACACTGAGATTGAATGAAGAGGCTGGGGAAGGAGAAGGCAGTTGGGAGTGGGGACAGTGGATATGGGATGGTGACACTGGACAAGGAGCCAGAAGAAGGGATGCCAGGTCTGGGTGACCCAGGCAACAAGGACTGGATGTGCATAATGTATAGACTGGGACTTCTGCAGGGCACCCAAACAGAAAGACAAGAACTGGTTGGGCAAGAAGCCTACAGCTGGCATGACAAGCATGCAGAACAGCGATAGTAATGGGTAGGCATGGAGAAACATATTAGGAAAAAGAACAAGAGGCAAGGAGAGAGGGGGGCAGGATTGGAGTGGAGAAATAAAAGGACCCAAGCCTAAGGTTCAGAAGAATCTCACCTACTAGAGAACACTCCCCTCCAGAGCCCCTCCACTGTCTCCCCATTTTACCATTCCTCTGCTGCCAGCAAGTGTCTGTGAAACCAAAAGGGAAAATGTGGGGCTTGCTCCTCTCTAATGTGGGCCCACATAAGGGACCTGTAATAAAGAGCCAGAGGGCTCCTATTATTTTAAGAGAGAGCTGCAGCAAACTAAGCTGGCTCTAGGCAGGCTGGTAGCTAATACACAAGCTAACTGCTTGTAAACCGTCTACCAGCTAACAGGCAGACCTGTAGTTACATGGTAAGAAGGGTTTCTACATGTCAGCAACAAGAGGAATGTCAAGGAAAGTGTGAGTCCCTTACTGAATTGGGAAGGCATCCTAGTGACAGTTGATGAGGAAAAGGCTGAAATGCTCAATGCCTTTTTCACCTCAGTTTTCACAGACAAGGTCAGCTCCCAGACTACTATACCTAGAGGCACAGTTTGGGGAGGAGGTGAGCAGCCCTTGCTGGTGGAAGAACAGGGTAGGGACTATTTAGAAAAGCTGGATGTGTAGAAGACCATGGAGTGGGATGCAATGCATCCAAGAGTGCTGAGGGAGTTGGCTGATGTGATTGCAGAGTTGCTGGCCATTATCTTTGAAAACTCATGGTGATTGGGGGCAGTTCCAAACAACTGAAAAAAGGCAACTATAGTGCCTATATTTAAGAAAGGAAAAAGGAGGATTGGGGAACTGCAGACTGGTCAGCCTTACCTCAGTCCCTAGAAAAATCATGGAGCAGGTCCTCAAAGAATCTATTTCTAAGCACTTGGAGGAGAAGACGGTGATTAGGAACAGTCAGCATGGATTCACCAAGGTAAGTCATGTCTGACTAACCTGATTGCCATCTGTGATGAGATGACTGGCTCTGTAGAAGTAGGGAAATCAGTAGATGTAATATACCTTGACTTTATTTAGCAAGGATTTTGATACCATCTCCTACAGCATTCTTGCAAGCAAGCTGAGGAAGTATGCGTTGGTCGGATGAATGAACTGTAAGGTAGATAGAAAGCTGGCTAGATTGTTGGGCTGAATGGGTAGTAATCAACAGCTCAGTGTCTAACTGGCAGCCAGTATCAAGTGGAGTGCCCTGGGGCTCAGTCCAGGAGCCAGTTTTGTTCAATGTCTTCATTAACTATCTGGAAGATGGGATGGATTGCACCCTCAGCAAGTTTGCGGATAACACCAATCTGGGGGGTATAGTAGATGCAATGGAGGGTAGGGCTAGGATTCAGAGTGACCTTTAGGTTTAAGGGAGGTTTAAGTTGGATACTAGGAAAAACTTTCTTCCTGGGAGAGTGGTGAAGTACTGGAACAGGTTACCTATAGAAGTAGTGGAATCTACATCCTTGGGGGTTTTCAAGGCTCAGCTTGACAAGCCCTGGCTGGAATGATCTGGTTGGGGTTGGTCTGGCTTTGAGCATGGGTTTGGACTAGATGACCTCTGAGATCTCTCCCAACACTAATTTTCTATGATTCTATAGTAGTGGCTGCCCTGGGGGCGGGGAGGGAATAATTCTCCCCAAGGGACAGTCACAGAGCAACAAGCTGCAAAGAGGTCTAGTATATAGACAGCTCAGAAACCCAGAGCTGCTGTCAGCTGAAACAAGAGACCCTAAAATCTGGAAACAAGATGCCTACAGGGAAGTAGGACCCAGTTTTGAGGGGAGTGTGGTGGTTCAGCCAGGGAGCTGATGCTTATGTTGAAGCACAGTCTGTGGAGAGTCTATGTTGCAACCAGAGGGCTTGTTCTTTTGTTATATTTTACTGGTGGGCCAGTTTAGGACTATAAGGGGACAGGGAGGTCCCAATAGTGCCTGAGGGTCACAGTGCTCAAGGAAAGTGGAGACCAGGGCTGGGGGCCCAGAGCCCAAGAAGGGGTGAGACTAGAGCTGGCATAGTGGGCCTAGGCAAAAAGCCCCAGCAAGAGAAAAGGGGCAGATGAGGCCCCAACAAGGATACAGAGGCCTGGAGAAGCATGGTATTGAATGTGGGGCTGAATGCCCACTGCAGTGATTAACTAGTAACACCTAGAAGGCAGCGACATGGCTGTAGGGGAGGTTGGAGACCACAAAATTAGTCCTTAAGGCAGGGGTAAGCAAAATAAAGCCTGCAGGCCAAATTCAGCCCACCAACTGACTGGATCTAGTCCATGGCTGCTGAGCTGAACATGCTTTCACTGAGATAGCCCTGGCCATGCTCCCACCCACGCCAGACAGCCTGGGCCCCAGCCAGCATGCGCAGTTTTGGCAGAGCTGTTCCTGGTGCTACTCTGCTCCCCTTGTCTTCAGTGGGAGCCACCTGGCTGTGGCTGTGGCTCCCCCTCCTCCCCCACCCACCATCCACCCAAAGCAGTGCAGCTGGAGCTGGAGCTGGAGCTGGGGCAGAGCAGAAGCAGGAGGAGGAGCCACTGCTGGAGGTCAGGGGATCACAGCAGCATCCAACTGGCTGCAGCCCCACCAGAAGCTGTGCACTGGCCCGGGGCTGCAGCCAGTGAGGTTATTCCGCTCCCTTCGCCTCCAGCTGCAACTCCTGTTTCTGCTCCTGCCCCTGCTGTGCCACTGAGTGGGGAGGAGCTTCAGCCAGGTGGCTTCTGTCTCACGGGGGCAGCTGTGGACTGGGCAAGCTCTGCTGCATGTGTCCCCTCCCCTCCTCTTCCTCCCTTCTCTCACCCCTGGCTAGCTCTGCTGCACATACCCCACCATCCCCCCACCCCTATACACACTCCCCACTCCTCCCCACAGGACAGGGCATGCAGGGAGCAGATCGTGCCCATCCCACTCCTGAGCACTGCTCCCCACCTGCCAAAGTCCCATAGGGAGTTTTGGTGAATTGTTGCACAAGGGGTGTGGGGAGGGGGAAGGTGCTGACCCAGCCCACAACAGCTCATCAAAACTTCCTATATGGTCCCTGGACCCAAATAATTGCCCACTCTTTCATTAACGTAACTAGTGCCCTAGAGCACAGATGGGACAGGAGGGCAGGATGGAGAGCAGTGGGGTTTGGGAGGAACCCAATGACAGCTAGTAGATAAGGACTTGCTCTGGGACCCTGGGCACCCTCCCTTTATCCTAGTAACAATAACAGTAAGGTGTGGCAGGAAAGAGGGCAAAAGAGGGTGGGTACCCAGAGCCAAACAGGTGCTGCATGGCCAGCAGGGGGCATCATGGCCACCAGGGGGATCACAGCCACCCTTAGGGCCTCGTCTTGTTACAGGACCCCAGAGAAGATGACAACCTACTATTACTGTACATTAGCTGATATGGCAGAGATGCATGCAAAGAATCAAAAAGTTTCAATGATTGTGATGAACTATGATGATGATAAAATTTCAGTGATGATGATGAACTGAATTCATGGCACAAGCAGGGTGCGCTGTGGCTCCTTTAATCTTTCAGGTTCCCCCATACCCCTCTCCCCCACTGCTAATTGGTGTAGAGGCCCCACTTACAGCTTGCTGCTGATCAGTGGGAAGTGAAAACTGTGGTTTTAAATATGGCGCAATTTTGGCTTTCTGCCACTAATTGGCTGAGGGGCCGCAGACAGCCCTGCTGTTTGCTGGTGACTGAAGGGGAGGCAAAAACAGCGCCATGTTTAAAACCACAGTTTTAGCTTCCCTGCCGAACAGGAGGGAGTGGCAGGGTCCTTCACTAATCAGCATTAGTGGGGAGCAACAGGCAAGAGGCAAGGTGCGCAAGGGAGAACATGCAAGGTTAAAAGAGCCGCCATGCAGCCTACTTCCACTATGAATTTGGTAGGTCCCTAACTATGGGATAGAGTACCACATGATGGAAATGCTGGGGGGGGGGGCGTTGGTTTTCTTTTCTAAAAACTGAGAAAATAGTGCACAAAAATACAAAAACATACTCACATTTTAAAGCCAAGCTTAAAAAGGAAGTTAGTCATGACAAACTTGATGCCAGACTGAGTGACCTTAATTTAGCCCTTTAGTAAAATATGTATTATGGATGCAATCTTTAACTATATAACCATGTACTATTTTTATCACAATGTCTCTTCCTAACTCATTGTGTTAAATAAAGATTATCTGGTTCTGGGTCAGGGTTGCATAAGATCCCTACCTCATTTGTTGTATAAGTTGGAAAGTGTATAGTGAATGAAGTAAGAGATTGCAGAAAGTTAAGAAAGGGCAAGTGAGTTGAATGCTTCCCTGAAGAATTAAATTCTATTCCTGGCTCTGCCACAGAGTTCCTATGTGATGCTGGGCAAATCACTAGAATCAGACTTTTCACATGCATCCATTAATTTTGTGCTCTTTATTTTTACTGAAGTGCTATCCCAAGCAATTACAGTACCGTCAGAAAGCAACAACAGGGTATCCTTCAGCAGGTCTTTGGCAGAGCAGGTATTTGATAGTCTTGAATGTCCACATACTTTTTTAAGCAGGGAAGATTTTACTAACATAATATTTTAAATTTTTGTATTGTCTAACTAATTTTAAATTAAGGACAAACAATGCTATTGCTATTCAGTAATATTTCTTGCTGCAGTAGTAACCCTGTAACTGTTTAAGCCTCACTGGCACAATTATATATTGTATATTAAAGCAAATATGATACATTCAAATTCCTCAGATCAGGATATTTCTGGGGCCCACTGTATTCTACTGGAACTCCAGAAAAATCCCTTTATCTTAGGATGTATTGGAAAGGACTGGTGCTTCTTGGAATCATGAGTTGGTGTGATCATGACCGTTGTCTTTTGATTCACTGAGTCAGACAGAGTATTTTTGGAACTTGGACCTTTAGATGCTCACAGACCATAGAAACTGCTATGTTAGTACAAGGAAGAACCTAGATGTGTGCCATAAAGAGATACAGAGACAATCTTATGCACACCAAGGGAGCAAAGTGTATTTTAAAATTCCTCCTCATCATTTTCTTCCACAAATGAGTCAGTTCCCACTTCCTCGTAGTCCTTCTCCAAGGCGGACAAGTCTTCTCGGGCCTCTGCAAACTCCCCTTCTTCCATGCCTTCTCCGACGTACCAGTGCACAAATGCTCTCTTGGCATACATCAGATCAAACTTGTGGTCCAGTCTTGCCCAGGCCTCAGCAATGGCTGTGGTGTTGCTTAGCATGCAGACAGCACGCTGCACCTGCGCCAGGTCTCCTCCAGGAGTTATTGTGGGAGGCTGGTAATTTATGCCAACCTGGAAGTAGGAAAAGTAAGATGGACAAGGAAAAAAAAAGGGAAGAAGGAAAAGAAGAGAGAGGAAGAAAAGAAAAAACACAATTAAAAAAAACATGTAGGAAGCATTAAATAACTTCATATGTGATTGTGAAGAGTGGATGACTTATGATATTGATATTATCCTAATGGTAAGTGCCATCCGTAGAAACATTCCATTCACAGCCAATATCCAGGAAACCAGAGAGGGAAACACAAATTGGGCACAGGACTACAAATGAGGGTGTATCAGTGTTCAGTAGAGCACTGTTTTAACTGCCTGCCTTATTTTTTCTCCCTTCTTAATGCATACTGGCACCATACTTGCCTTTTTTGTTTTTTACTCCTGATGCAAAATTGAGAATAAACTTTCATCTAGCTCTTCCATATGAGCTAACACAGAAAGCATTTTCCACCTATACATATTCACACTCAAGTTGCATCAATATGGATTATCTGGATTCATTGCTGATGTCAGCATGGCTCTGGAAATGATGCCTATTAGAGCTTCCCACAAGCAGAAGCATGTATCGCGCACTTATACTGAGCTGTTCAAGACTAGAAGCTATCTTTATAAAAAGAAATTTCATCCACAAAGCAATTATATTCATGTTTCATTTACTCAAAATGTATTCATTTGTTTTGTTTTTTAAATAGAACCTTTTGTTTTGATAGTTTAGGTTTCCCAACAGTTTCTAAGGACTTTAAGTATTAAAAAAAAGTTGGCATTTCCCAAACTGCCAAACAGCTCATGCTTTGGAGGCTGTGTCAAAATTCCAAAGGAGCCACACACACTACTAACAGTTCACTTCTCTCTTCAGTGAAAACAGAAGAGGTGAAACCACACTTAAGTCTAGACACACAATGCATCTTTAGTAAAAAGGGCAGTGCACTTTTGCTTCCATCACCTTGAAGCCTGTGGGACACCAGTCCACAAACTGGATGGTTCTCTTGGTCTTGATGGCAGCAATAGCTACATTGACATCTTTGGGCACAACATCACCCCGATACAGCATGCAGCAGGCCATGTACTTCCCATGCCGTGGGTCACACTTCACCATCTGGTTGTTGGGCTCAAAGCAGGAACTGGTGATTTCTGCTACAGACAGCTGCTCATGGTAGGCCCTCTCAGAGGACAGGATGGGTGCATAGGTCACCAAGGGGAAGTGGATGCGTGGGTAGGGCACCAGGTTGGTCTGAAATTCTGTCAGATCCACATTGAGGGCCCCATCAAAGCGCAGAGAGGCCGTAATTGAGGAGACTATCTGGCTGATGAGGCGGTTAAGGTTGGTGTAAGTGGGACGTTCAATGTCCAGGTTACGGCGGCAGATGTCATAGATGGCCTCATTGTCCACCATGAAGGCACAATCTGAGTGCTCCAGGGTGGTGTGGGTGGTCAGGATGGAGTTGTAGGGCTCCACTACAGCGGTAGAGACTTGAGGGGCAGGATAGATGGCAAACTCCAGTTTGGATTTCTTGCCGTAGTCCAGGGAGAGCCGTTCCATCAGCAAGGAAGTAAATCCAGATCCTGTGCCCCCACCAAAGCTGTGGAAAATCAGGAATCCCTGCAGCCCAGAGCAGGCATCAGCCTGAAAAATAAGAGAGAATGCAAGGAATCATTTGCATCTCTAAGACTCCTATGACTCCATCCTCAGACTGAATCTGAAACATCTGTACCCAACACACAGCACAGAGTTCAGCAGGGAATTTCCTAGAAAAAGTCCCAATTTTTGAAGGGGGTTGGAGCCATAGGGTGAAAACTCTAAGTTGCAGAAACCTTATTTCATGGCCTCTGTCTGAGTAGCCATCCATCAGGAGCTGACCTGTGTTCCCAGGACCTGACAGTCTATTCTGAGCCAATGACCTCAGTGGGACTAAAACAAGAACTGCGTATCACCACCTCTGCCACCAACCCCACTTCTCATTTACAATGTACTGACACTTACCAGTTTACGGATACGATCCAATGCCATGTCGATTCTGTCTTTGCCAATAGTATAGTGGCCACGGGCATAGTTATTAGCTGCATCCTCTTTTCCAGTGATCAACTGCTCTGGGTGAAAAAGCTGTCGGTAAGTGCCAGTCCTCACCTCATCTGTCCAAGAAAGAACAACCGTAATTTTTTTAATATGCCATAGAGTCCCTAAATAACAGACCTTTGTATTGGCAAGAACATGAAAAAAGAGGTCTGAATGCTACAAAATATGTTGACTGGTAAAAAGTTGTGTTGCTAAGATAAGGTGCACTAAGTTCCAAAGGCAAAAATAAAAGTAGCTTTTCAAGCCACTACAACAGCTACTCTGTGGTAGCAATATGCTAATTTACAGTATGATGGTTGTGTCCAAACATGGAAGTTGTCAAAAGAGGGGAGATTTGCAGGAGTAAAATGCTGGTTTCCCAGAAAAGGAAGAGGGAATCTCAGGATCCATCCTACGCTCCCCGCCCCATGCCTTTATTCCTCTGTCTGTGATCTTTGCTGGAGAAAAGCAGCACTCAGATAGCAAAGGCAACTATTACCACAAACAGGAGCCAATTTTCATGAAGAGAGGTACAGTAGACATGTTGTTAGAGCTATTGAGCTATAGTAAACTCTTGTCTTGGTTGATTGCAAGGCAGGGTATCTATAGCCAGGTATAATCAGTGTTATTGCCTTCTCCCACCAGAAGCTGTAATCCCCCTTGAGAGATGATAAGGTCCTTGCAAGTTTCTGTTTTTAAAGGCCTGAAATAGCCTATGTGTTCCTGATTATAGGGTTATCCTTAATCTTTTCAGTTTTCTAGGATTTATTTTGTACTCACCTACAACAGTTTGCTCCAAATCCACCATAATTGCCCGTGGCACATGTTTTCCTGTGCCTGTTTCTCTGAAAAACGTGGCAAAGGAGTCATCATTGTAGGGCTGATCATTGAAGGTACCATCTGGTTGAATACCATGTTCCAGACAGAAAAGTTCCCAGCATGCATTGCCGATCTGAACTCCAGCCTGGCCAACGTGAACAGAAATGCACTCACGCTATGGAAAGAAAAGAGAAGAGGTCAAAAAAATTAGTGCACATTATTTTTTCTCCTTTCAAATAGTCATATGAGCCTGGCTTACCTGCATTCAGAAATCCCAGTTCAAATTCTCAATTTGATTTGATTTGGAGTTCCCAACCTTGCCTATGTAACAGAAACTGATGTACACAGAGACCCAGAAAACTGTCATCTAGCTACTGTTTTTCACATTCAATACAAGTTGCAACTCTTATTTACTAGTAATAGAGTGAACGTATGTTGTGGCAGAACTAATCTGGAACTGTGCACACACATGTCTGTATACACCAGACATATGCCTGTAAAAACAGAAGAATGTTTGCAGGTATGTAAAATGCTGCCTTAAGGATTGTGATAGATTCAAGATGAGGTGCATGGGCCAGGATCATTTATTTTATCCTTGGCTAGTACCCAGCACATGTACAGTATTTTCTAAATAATGCCATCAACATATATTTTGACCATGGAATCAAATATATTGAACTTATTTTTATAGTGGTCATTGTCATGTCAGCTAAATATTTAATGAGAGCAAGCTAAAACACAAAATAAAATAATTGGATGCTGACAGAAATAAATGTGGTATTTACTGTGTACCATAAATGTGATACTGTGAATTCACAGGGGACCTCTGAGAAGCACATATTCAAACATAAGATCTTTGAGAACATTTCCCGGCCAGTCATAAGGTGTCTCTTCACTATGGAGATAATTCACATTATCTACATTCAAATTACTGCTCCACATTGGCAGTGTATTCACTCATATGTGGCACTAAAATTTCTGGGGATGTGTCCCATGAGTCTTTGCACTGCAGGAAGCTAAGGGTTTTTTTTATGAAATCTTTCCATGTAAATTGTTAAAGAACTTGTCAGTCCTTCCTGAGCACACAAGGGATTATAGAAAGGCACTGGAAGACAAGCAACATTTGAACAAAACTAGCCCATGTCTACACTCCAGAGTGCCCATAGGAGCAGCTGATGAGTTATGATCAGGGCAGATACAGGGTGTGAACTTGTGCACTTGCACCCCTCTTTGATTCTTGCTCCACTCAAAGTGTAAAACCAACAGCCTGTCAGTGGTAGCAGCATTTCAAGTCAGGCAGTGCTGTGGGAGTCAATTGACTTCATGGGTTATTACAATCTAACTGATCCCTTCTAAACCCTTCATTCCACAGGTGTTAATGACCCTCTCTTCTTCTTAATAAGATCGATGTTCCACCAATCAAGCTATCCTTTGTTCTACTGTTTTTCTAATGTTTTTTTGCTTTTTCAGTCTTAAATGGAACAAGAGAGCCCTAGGCCCCTAACATATTAGTAATGCTTCTAGTTTATTTTTAACTGGAGGAAAAAATGGTGTTTTATATGTAATGATGCACCTCACCATCTGCACCTCCCTTTTCCAAATTCTAGATCTGCCCATGTTTATGATAAATTGAGCTACACCACCTGAAAGGGTAGGCTAGCTGAATTTAAAAACA